AAAAAAAACGAATGTCAATCTTAACACGAACAAGGACAGGGATGGATTCACCGTTGCGGAACCTAAACAATAACAGAACCATCCATCCCCGTCATCACAGCACGCCGCCGACAAGAAGGCAGAAACAACATTGATTGCTTCCGTGGGGATGGCCCAGCGAAAGGTTTAACTGTCCGCTACCTCTCTCTCTCTCTCTCTCTCTCTCTCTCTCTCTCTCTCTCTCTCTCTCTCTCTCTCTCTCTCTCTCTTTCTCTATCTCTTGGTCCTGTCTCTTATACACATCTAGATGTGTATAAGAGACAGGATCCGCACTTCGCCGTGGAGATAGTCTCGATCGAAGAATGGCGGTTCTGCATGCACGACGTACAACGCCGGCTCGTGGAGGCGGCCGGCGTACCCCATCGCCACGTTGGAGACAAACAGGTCGATGATGTTTGACAACACATCGACGCCTCCTTCCCAGCGGTTGGGGATGGTTGTCCCCACCTTTCGCGCGAAAACCACCACCTGCCGCAGAAGAATTCTGCCAAATCCGAAGCCCACCGTCAGATGGAGACACGTGTCTCCATCAACGTCGATCTCGTAATGGCGCACTTCATGCATGGACACTTATACACATCTAGATGTGTATAAGAGACAGCGGTTGGGGATGGTTGTCCCCACCTTTCGCGCGAAAACCACCACCTGCCGCAGAAGAATTCTGCCAAATCCGAAGCCCACCGTCAGATGGAGACACGTGTCTCCATCAACGTCGATCTCGTAATGGCGCACTTCATGCATGGACACGCCGTTTTCGAAACCGAAATCCCTACTGTTATCAAGCCCGCGTCGGTGCCGCATCTCGTAGAAGATGACGGACCGACCCAAAACCCGCCCCCGCAGCGCCACGTCAACCTCCATCTGCACTGCAATCCACCAAGGAGCAGAAGCGGATCCCCGATGTGACCACCTGTCTCAAACACGCGTGACCAAAACCTACACTCCTCCCACCAGGCACGACCACCGACAACCGCCCGCGCGTAGAACAACGGATGACGAACACGGCCGCAGAACGATCGCCGAAAGGAAGGCAGTGATAATCCCAGTGCCTATGCTGCTACCCGCCACAGGTCGTTTGAATATTTGTAGTCCACCACAGACGGTTTATCGTGTTCAAAGCCCCGACGTCGTCTTCATCGCCGTCCGATGGCTTGCCTCCATCAACGGACGGTTGCATCACAACCCCTGCGGACGGTTCTGCCTGTGTTACCAGCGAAGGGGTGCACAACAGGGGTGGGCCCCGAAATTCGGCGCAGATAGTGGGGAAGGGGGTTTCGTGGCTTGGGGGGTGTTACTTATATGGGTGGTGCAGGTACTGGGGTGTTGGGGGCATGTTCGGAAGCGGGGGGGGGTGAGGGGATTCGGGGCCTGTCCATGTCAACTCCGAGATAGCGCGGATGCTATCTTCAGCAACACATCGAACAGCATGCGCTGACCCGCATCAAGCACCTCGCACTGTTTCTCCTGCGTCCTCGCCTCCCTCTCCATTATGTCGCATTGTCGTTGCAGCACATCGCATTGATGCTTGCTGGCACGATCTACAGACTCCGCCACGACTGTCGAATGCGTCTTCATCACATTCGCGACAGCATCGAAGGCCAGTTGCCACGCATTCTTCCGCTTCCTGCAGCCGTGCCCCTTGAAGATTTGTTGCCTTACCCGTCCCCCGCTCCGCTCTCCATGTTGTCACTCGCAGACGTCTCTCCCACGACTGTCGGCCCCCGCGGTTGGCTCTGCTCACCCTCATTCGGTTGCTGCGGAGGCAGTCCGCCGGTGTCACGTAGATTAGGCGGGTGTATGGCCTGATTGTTGGGGGTCGTTGCATGGATGGCATCATATAGTTGTCTATCCATCGCGAACTTGAAGCCTAGTTCTTTGCGCTTCTTCGAGGAGAGCAGGAAAAAAGATTGCACGCCCGAGTCTTTTTCCCTGTCCCAAATTTTTCTGTACCACCCGAAAATGTTCTCCCATCTCTTCATGCACGATTCCCCATCTCTATTCGTGACACCCTGTTGCACCATCCGCTTCGCTATCTCRTTCCATTTCCASGTCTTCGTCTTCATCCGCGCGAAGTTGCTGCCTTGGCTCGCCATATACTCGTCCAGGTCCCTCTTGCACCGGACGAGGACGAGCGATTCGTCCAAATGCCAGTTCWKCCGCGTGCTCCCTCCCCCACCCTCGCCMTCTGCACCCCCCCSTTCCTCCCTCRCCTTYGACTTCGCACGACTCTTGCTTGCCTTCTTCTTCCCCCCYTTYRATGTYGGCTCCTTCACCGCAGGCTCGYCATCGTCGTCGCTTTCATYGTCGTCGTCCGTGCAATCCTCCGGCACATCCTCACCGTCGGCGCAGGTGTCACCTACATCATCGCGTTGAACGTCCGTACGCATCCTTGAGTACCGCGCTATGATCCTCTCTATCACTTGGGGGGACTCTKCCGCAGTCRCCGTCGTCACTCTTYCGTTCACCACAGCGTGGGGAACCCCRGTGCCGAGAGGAGTCGTGAAGCCCRGCGGTCGGCTATGGCTSCTYGTGCATGCAGACGATGACCTCGCCGRCCGCTGTGTCTGAGGTCCATCTTCTCGGGCGTCCTGCATTGTCACCGACACACCGYYYTGTGACCGAYTGYTGTGCTCCACGAGGACGGTTCTTGAAGCATCCATGCTGCACRAYGGCGACAAGTGCAGTTGCAAAGGATCCGGCCCTGCCCCCCCCCCTCCCGTCAACAACGTGGACATCGRACCCATCCCWGTGCCGCGATCACCCGATCTGCCCCCGGTCTCGTAGGAGGTCTGYGTGGAACCCCATGCGAGAGGGAKGGTTGAAGGGGGCGGCACCCAGTCCTCGTCATCTGGCAAGGGCTGCATGTAACTCGGCAGATGGGCGTACAATGTGGGGTCGAATCGCTGGCGCATTCCTTCGGGAACACCGTTCGTAGGGGCAGACCCCATCCCATACATGTGCCCGCCATGGGGATTATCATCACCCATCCCCTTCCTCGCCCTGCGTCCTCCGCAGTCTTTCTTCGTTTGCTTCTTCCGTGGACGGGCCCGACAGTGCCTCAGCAACTGGCACAGTTGGACCACAATCACGATCAGCAAAGCRACGAGGAGGATTGACAGCAAAGCAGTCTTCCTCAGGAGGTCTGCCATGCGCACACGTGAGGCGTGATGAAGACAAGCAGCGAAGGAGGCAGTTTGGAATATGACAACGCTTCTCCTGACGCAGTTCATATTTACATGGATCGGCCACCGCCGAGGGAGTGTTGTGTCCAGCCCTCTCGTCCGGACAACTTCCATCGACTGGCCGTTGGCAGGGACGGCGCTAACGATCTGCACATTTCGTATTTGAATAACCTCCCGCCAACGGCCATCCGTCCCCCTGCCGCCGAGGCAGTGTTGTGTCCAGCCCTCTCGTCCCGACAACTTCCATCGACTGGCCGTTGGCAGGGACGGCGCTAATGATCTGCACATTTCGTATTTGAATTACCTCCCGCCAACGGCCATCCGCCCCCCCCCCCCCCCCCCCGCCCTGCCGCTTCCGGAAAGTCGTTCCTCTCCTCCCAACGGCCAATGTGGCCTCGCAACGGCACTGGATCCACCGGTACCGGGTCTCGCCGGTGCCAATGTCCCGCTGAAGGGCTGGTCGTCCACGCACTGGACCAGGAACAAATGCGGTTCGTCAGGAAACAAAAAAATTGCCGACTGCCTCCGCGAATGACGCGACCTGTAGGGTCCCACCCTCACATTTCAAGTCACCTCCGACGGCTCCCTAGAGATTTCCGTCGTTTTGCCTGGGTCGCCCTTATTTTTTAAGGGCGGACCCTACAGCCCCAAAATGTGGAAACACTCCGGAGTTCATTTTCGTCGTGATTAGGGTGCTGTGGAACGATGATTTTGTAAGGATCCTTACATTTCAAGTGGTATGGAACGAGGCCCTAATTGTAGGCATACGGGTTGTTTGCTGAGGATTCCCGGGGCCGAGATCCCACTACGGATGTATGTGGAGTGTATGTGGATTAGTGTTTGAGGTGTGTGACTGTCAGGCATCGTGGATTTGGCAGGAAATCAGCGGTAGCCAGTTTTGTGAATTAAGGCCGAGAAAAGGATGTTTTTGTTTGCTCTCCCCATTGGTAGGTTTTTCCTTTCGTTTTTGCCCTGGGGGTCCTGTGGTGGTCCCAAATGTGCGTGAAACGAGACCAATTTTTTTGGGTAATGAAATCACGCACGCTTCATTCACGGCGAAGGCAAAGACGAATGGCTTCATCGCTGGAAATTGATTGTTGTTTGGGAGGTGTTAGGAGGGTTCGATCCCCTCACCTACAGCAAATGGTGTATGAAGTTACTCTTGCCCTCCTTTGACAAAGAGAATTTCTGTCAGAACAACCGAACAGGGTGCACTGCGGCCTATTTCAAGAAAGCCTCAGACTATTGTCAATGAATATGGTCCATGTGCCGGCTCGCCTGCAGTCGTCTTGACTGCCACAGCCATGGTCAGTGGATCATGCCCTGACATCTGACACCCCGCCTGGAGCAGACATCGTCTGTGAGAATAGCACTTCCTTTTCTTTTTTAGCAGTTTTTTCTTCATTTGTTTGGTCATGAAATGTTCTTTTGGCGTTTATTTCCCTATTTCACACTGCCACCCACCTGTCTCCCACCCGTCCCACACCGTCACACTAATCCACATACATGGCTAGTGGGATCTCGCTCTGGGCCTCTCCTTCGGTGTGCGTAATCGAATGAGCTGAGTTTTCCTTCTGAAAAACAAAAAAATAAAAAATTGTACGCATACGGGGAACCCCGCAGCAGCCAGAACTGTGTTCACGAGAGAACATGCGGGGCCTGCTCCCGACCTGCAGGTGGGCGATACCGGCCAGGGGCCAGCCGGTAGCATCAGGGATCATGCCAACAGGACTAATCCCCGTACGTTTCATAAAATCGTGGCGCGTTAACGGGCACGACTCGAGGAAGTACTTGTGGCCAAGGACGAGGAGAGTTGTCCTCTTCCATCGCCGGATACTTGTACATTGTAAAAGGCGGGAAACAGGGGTGAGATATCTGCAGCTGAAGGAGGAGGAGGAGGAGGAGGAGAAGATTAACGAAAGTCAGCAACTTTATTAGAACAGGAGATAGATTGACGGCGGGGACCACCAACCGGAAGTGTGTACCCGGAAGTGTGTACTGCGACCACCACCCAGCTCGGCTGCCTGGAGACGGGGTTCGCTGTCCCATGTATCTCAACACCGCAGACGTCTGTTTGTTTTTTCCTGAATATGGAGAGAGATGACAGTAGGTTGGAAGCGGCGGCGTGGGATGGTCAACACATTTTTGACCGTGTCGGATACTGAGGAGTTTTGAAATGGCGGGAAGTAAAGCTGGTGCAGCACACCTTTGGAGGGAGAAGGGTTTTGGACCGGTGGAGAAGCTGATGAGGGAGGAAGCACTTGAACAAGGTGTAGGTGTGTCATCGATCAGCTAGAAAGCGTCTGTCTGGGAAAAGAAGCACGGGCAGGGGCGCAATTGTAATCGTCGTCGGGACAGTAAAAAAGAGCAAATTTAGAGGGTTAACACATAGAAAGTCCGAGCGGGAGGGAAGGTAAACGACCACGGCCACGACCACGGTCACGGTCGCGAACGAGGTAGAAGACGTCTGAGACGTGCTTGTGAAGGGCGAGCAAGGGACTGCGAGACGAGCGTTTACCCAATCGCAGAACTCTGCGGCAATCTCTAATTACTGTAATCACTGAAATAGGATTGATTGAACGCAAGTGCGGCCAATCGTGTGTGTATGCGCAAGACTTAGTGGGATCCGAACAAAAGTAGAGCACAAGCAACTTTTGCTTGTTTCGGATTTTGATTGGAAGTTCTATTCGGCCTTGTTAGGATGGGAAATTCTAAGAGCAAACCGACTATAGATAGATACAAGGACAAGGTGGAGCCGGAGGCAGTGTTCGCCCCCCCCCCCCCCGCTTCACCGTCTTCTTCGGGGCAGTTATCGGATGCCGACGGGTTGATAATGAATGGGCCGCTCTCGAGTACAAAGGTGAGGGAGTTCAGCGTGCAAGAGATCACGAAGATGACCAGGCAGAGATGGGACAAGATTGGTAGCGGCGGATTTGGCCCCGTGTACAAGGGTGTGATTAAGTCGTCGGACCGCACGCAATGGGTCGCGGTGAAGTTTCTGTCCGAGAGTTCTAAACAAGGCTTCCGCGAGCTCGTTCAGGAGATCAAGGTCCTCCCTAACATTCATCACCGCCACCTGGTCTCGTTGATTGGCTTTTGCAATGATGACAATTGCCGGGCTGTCGTCTACGAGTTCGTGCCAAACGGGACATTGAGTGATCATCTGCACGGGGGGACCAAAGGGAACCAATCTGTCACCCCATTGCCGTGGAGGAAGCGGCTGGCAATCGCTTTGGAAGTCGGCCTCGCTCTCAGCTACCTTCATCTGGGAATCACGCCAGCCGTCGTTCACCGCGACATCAAGCCGTCCAACGTGTTGATGGATCTCAGAATGCATGCCAAGCTGGGGGATTTCGGGTTGTCGCGGTTGTTCGCGAATGAAGAGTACACCCACCTCACCACGGGTGTCAAGGGGACCATCGGATACCTGGATCCGGAGTACCATAAGACTCAGAGGATGACGGACAAGACGGATGTGTACAGTTTCGGCGTGCTCTTGATGGAGCTCATCAGTGGGAGAAGGCCTGTGGGAATAATGGCAGGCAGTGGGCGATTGTTCAATCTGGTGGAGTGGGCGCGAGGTGCCATGCAGAGAGGAGACATTCGATGCGTGTTGGACAAGAAGATTGAGGAAGGAAGTTATTGTCAACAAGCGCTGTGGAAATTGGCGGATGGCGCGATGAAGTGCTGCGAGCCTCACCCATTTAATCGCCCGCGAATAGACGAGATCACAGACATCATACGAGAAGCCATAATGTTGCAAGACCAGAGCGGCGGTCGAGCGGAGGGAATACCTCAGCGACCGGCACATGCGCCACCTTCCGCCGCTCAAGCTGGGCCTCAGACAGGAGAAGGGAGAGGAGGAGGAGGAGCAGTACCAGTAGGCGTAGGAAGAAATCAAGAAGCACAAGCAGGAGGAGGAAGAGGAGGAGGAGATGGATCTGTGGCGGACTACGGACAGCAGCCCCTGTCCTCGGGATCATATGGATCGGGATCTGCTGGGGGGTTGCACGGACAGCGACCCCCGCGGTCAGGATTAGAGCGGTCAAATCATTTTAACTATGGATTAGGGGGGTCGAATCATTATAACTATGTACAGGCAGGAGAGACTCGTCCTCCGCCGGAGGCAATAGCAGCAGCAGCAGTAGCAGCAGGAGGACAAGGAGGAGATGGGTCTGGTGAGGGGGTGCACGGACAGCAGCCCCTGTCCTCGGGAGCATATGGATCGGGATCTGCTGGGGGGTTGCACGGACAGCGACCCCCTCGGTCAGGATTAGGGGGGTCAAATCATTATTATAACTATGTACGGGCAGGAGAGACTCGTCCTCCGCCGGAAGCAATAGCAGCAGGAGGACAAGGAGGAGGACAAGGAGTAGGAGATGGATCTGGTGGGGGGTTGCACGGACAGCAACCCCCGCACTTGGGAGGGCATGTATCGGGTCTTCATCCCATGATACCAGGAGGATCAGGAAGTTATGGAGGAGGGGAAAGCCTTGTTTCTGGTTCTGGTCCGTGGCGAGTTAGTGTTCAAGAGCTGCAACAGTCAGGATCACATCTATTGGAACAACGTCCCGCGCAACAAGGAGGAAACCCTATTGCTGATCGGCCTGTGTGGGGACCATACTCGTGGCAGGAAGGAGGAGCATCTTCGTTTGGTCGAACGGATGGGGAAGGAGGAGGAGGACTAGGACCGAGAGTACAGTATCCTCCTTACTCAGGATCATTCTTTCCCAGACAGGATCCTGCGCGCCCAGCAGAGGTACAGCAGTCTCCGTACCCTAACGGTTTTGAACGCGTAGGGTCAGGAGCAGGAGGAGAAAGAGGACCTGCTCCTACTTTTCCTCCCATTATCACTTCTCCGCCGTCTTTCCATTCGGCAGTGAACCCACCTTCTCCTTTTGCCGCCACGTCTCCGTACCAACCACAGGGAGCACCTGCTTCTCCCTATCAACCTGTTCTTCCTTTCCTTCGTCCGCCTGTGGGCTGAATATGGCAACGCAAAAGAGGTGCCTTCCGCTGGCCGGGCCCTG